GAAGGAAGGAAGGAAGGAAGGAAGGAAGGAAGGAAGGAAGGAAGGAATTTTCCCGTGTGTAGCCCCCAAAGAACTCACAATATTGAGGTTGGTGAGGATGTACCTCTCAGTCTCTTCTTTGTGGAACTGGTAAACATCTGGCCCCACCACCACTAAGAGCTCCAGATGTTTCACCTTCTCCTCAACCCCTCTGCGAATCCGGGATGAAACTCTTCCCTCTGCACAGAGAGATGGAAAGAACCATAAAACACACAGGCGCCGCGTTTAAAGAAATGGGATTATTACAGATACGTAACTTCCGTTTTTAATTTGAGTTTCCAAGAACCACTGAGCCACGTGGACGGTTCTAAGAATAAGGCTATCCCTTCACTTCTGGATTCTCTCTCATTTCCAAGGGAAAAAAATCAACTTACTGGTCTGCGCTGACGATGAATCGTCCCACAGACTGCTGAAGACGATGTGGGGCCTGGAGAGAAGGGGTCGCTCCAGGTGGCGTTGGTGTTGCTTTCTCACCGGTGTGATGTGAACCTTCTTGCCACGAACGCTGATCGAGCCTTGCTAAGGGAAAGAAGAGAGCCTCGGCGTGCGAATGACTGAATACTTGCGAAGGACGTCAATCCTTCCATTCGCCACCCTTCAGTTTAGAACTGAAGAAACTTCCTGAATGAGAAGTCAAATGTTTTTAAGGGAAGAAGAAGGAAAACAACAACCAAAGGCCCAGCTGCCTTTTGAAGAAGAAAAAAAGGGGAAGCCTTTGGGTCAGCTGTGACTTGGATGATTGAGCATCTCCGCAGACCTATATCCAACACGCCTTCCTGCTTCTAATTTCCCCACAACAACCGCCTTGTGAGGTGGGTCGGGCTGTGTTGTTGCCTGCCAGTGGCCAATGGAGCTGGCGGCAGACTCAAACAGTGAGGAGGTTGGGGAGGAACCTGGGCCAGTCCTGGAGTCTGGGGGAGGCTCTGGCGAGGGCTCTGCATCGGAGGCAGAGATGGGGCCAGGGCCGTCCGACAGTTATCAGCTGCCTTTGGAGTTGGAGATCAGTGGGGAAGAAGAACAGCTGGAGCCTGTTCCCAGTGTGCGCATGCACAGAGCTGCCTGGAGAAGGGAACACTTAAGGAACGAGGCTCGACTCAGGAGTAAAGGCTCTGATGGATGGTGAATGGCCCTCCCATATGGAATAAAGAGGAAGGAAAGGGGAATAGAGTTTTTCAGGAGACAATTAATTCGTTTAATTAGGGTGAAGATCTGTCCCTGACTTCTTGCCATGTATTGTCTGCTACAGTGTGGCATCTGAAAGATATCAGCCTGGCAACTTTCCAAGCCTGATAAAGGTCTGTAGTTGTGAAATCTCTTGAAAGACTGTTGGCCGGGACTTTGCTGTAGAGGAATTCACTTCAACCTAAACAAAAGGGGTTTTATCGGGATGAGGAGTCTGAGAGAGAACTGGCCCAAAGTCATCCACCAAATATAGCTCGACACTCTATAAACACGAAGCAAACTGACTTTAGTTGCATTGAACGGTTGTATGTTTGGAACCGGGAGATTTGAATGGAACTCGGCCCCTTGGCAGCCCGAAAGGTCTTGAGATGTTACTTACCAGTTCTCCTTCACAATATGTGACACGGCCTTTTGCCCCCAGGGGTGTGAGAGGCTTCCCTCCAGCAAAGCAATTATGCCTTGAACGCCGTAGCAAACTGGCGGAAGAGTTTAACCTTCGGGTGCTCACGAAAAATGGGGGGAAAAGGGCCTGCTCTGGAGAGAACTCAAAGGCAAAGTGATCTCCTGAAGCTTGGAAAGAACAACGCTGGGCTGTACAAGACGTTGGTCCGTCTTCGCAGGAGCAAGTCAGAGGCACGACCTCAAATTCTGGCACTGGAAAAATGAGAATAGAGACGCGGATATGCTGGGCCTGAACAGAACCAAACTTGGATTGATTTTATATCTGGAGAATTCTTTTCTATCCTGTTCTGTTCTGTTCTATTCTGTATTATTCTATTCAATTTTCTATTCGATTTTCTATTATTTTCTATTCTAATTTCTATTTTATTCTATTCTATTCTTCCATTACACTTTCTATTTTCTTTTCTATTCTATATTGTATTATTCTATTCTATTCAATTCTTTTTCTTTTCTATTTTAATTTCTATTTTCTATTCTATTCTGTATTCTATATTGTATTATTCTATTCGATTCTCTATTTCTTTTCTATTCTAATTTCTATTTTCTAATCCTTTCTATTCTGTTCTATTTTCTATTCTATTCTGTATTCTATTCCAATTCCAATCTAAATATGGAACACAACTGGCCTAGATCCATACACTTGCCTCATGACATCTCGAGCCTAGTTAAAATCAGGGCAATGATAATTAAAATCGGTGCCACAGACATGGCATCTTCTTACCTCTGAGCCTTGAATTTGTCCCGAAATAAAAGTAAACGTCATGGGCTTTCAAACTATTCAGAAAAGTCTACAAGGAGAAAGGGGAGAAGAAAGTCC